AAGTAGAAAAAAATATATATTACGATGTTATGCTAACAGCTAACTAACATATGTGGACTAAAACTTCTCCTGTATCTAAGCACTACGCTCTAGATTTCTATATCTTTTTTAAAGAAAAGAAGCATAGAGACCCAGAAACTTAACTTTAAAAACCAATAAATTCATAATTCATAGCAAGCATTGTCACCAAAACCATACCAAAGCACTAACGAGCTTAATTTAATTAAATACAATTAAAACAAGATTAATCATAAGATTACCAAATTTCCAGCGAGCTTGAACAAGGGCAATATCAGAGTTGTGGACCAGAAATGGAATGGTGCGGTAGAGAAAATCAGGTTCAGGTTGGAAGTCAGCATCAAAGATGGCAACATAGTCACACTGTTTGACATAACTGTGCTTCATGCCTTCTTTGAGAGCCCCTGCTTTGTACCCATTTCTGTTGTCTCTGATCTCGTACTTTATGTTTATTCCTTTGCTTGCCCATCTTTGGCATTCTCGCTCCACCAAATCCTGTAGTTTTTTTCAGGCCAAAAACCCACATCAGAAATTGAAAGGTTTGTTGAGTGAATTGGGAAAGTTTTGGACTTTATGGGGAAATTGCTGCTTTGGACTCTTTTCCCGAAAGGGAATGCTTAAAGAAGGAGGTCAAAGTCGCATGGCTGAGTTTGGTTGGGTTGCTTTATGGATTTAGAGCACGTTGCCCACGTTTGGATTGGTAAACATTAGTTAATGGATTTTGATTGGTTAAAATTTATCTATGAGGTTGACCAAGATTACTTTTTTTATTCTCTTTGATAAACTAATATTTTCTCTTTGATAGATTAATCATTGAAACACTTTCATAAGATTTGACCCACAGACACCCAAAAAACCTTAAACAATATATAAATTAATATGAAATATTCTCTTGTCAAACAATCCAACATATTACGTGATGGAATTACTAATATCAATGATTGATCATGTTTGTTTAAATGCCTAGTACAGATTTACACTTTACCAGAGCAATATGACATATCGGTCTATCAACTTTGGCTAAAGAATATGCAAAAGGAAAAGAAAAAAGAAATCATTAAATTAAATAAATGAGTTTGAAGGAAGAACCTTAATGGTTGGATCTGTTGAATCATCAAGAACTTGAATTATGATCCTATCAGAAGGCCAGGAAAGCCCACATGCAGCTCCAATAGAAAGCTGATAAACCTGAATCAAGCAGCACAATGCACTTCTCAAAAAAACTCCAAATACAAATA